ATCAAAGCCAAAATCCCCTCTCGATTCGTTCCATGAACGAGAGGTCCACAAATTGAACGATCAAACCTTTAAACAGTTAGGATCGTCTCAAATTCCCATCTTGGTCAAACCTTTAAACAGTTAGGACCAAAGCCAAAATCTCCTCTCGATTCGTTCCATGAACGAGAGGTCCACAAATTGAACGATCAAACCATTAAACAGTTAGGATCGTCTCAGATTCCCATCTTGGTCAAACCTTTAAACAGTTAGGACCAAAGCCAAAATCTCCTCTCGATTCGTTCCATGAACGAGAGGTCCACAAATTGAACGATCAAACCTTTAAACAGTCAGGATCGTCTCAAAACTCCCACTTGGTCAAACCTTACTACAGTTAGGACCACAACCAAAATCTCTTCTCGATTCGTTTCATGAACGAGAAGTCCATTCTCAAGTTGAATAGTCAAACCTTATGACAGTTAGGATTATTCAAACCAGTCTAGATTCTTTAAGTGGAGATCCCACTTTGAGTTTCCTTTGCACTTAGGAGATAGAATATAAAATTCTCCCTCTTCGATTCTGGGTTCATCTCTACCAACAAAAAAAAGACTGGAGATAGAATATAAAATTCTTCCTCTCCAGGATTGGGTTCATCTCTACCAACAAAAAAGAGACTGGAGATAGAATATAAAATTCTTCCTCTCCAGGATTGGGTTCATCTCTACCAACAAACAAGAGACCAGGAGATAGAATATAAAATTCTTCCTCTCCGATTCCGGGTTTATCTCTACCAATAAACAAGAGATCAGGAGATAGAATGGATAGACTAACAGCAGAAGAGGTTAAACATTGAAGCCATTTACAAGTCCTTTCATACGATCTATTCAGCCAAGCATTGAAGGGATCGTAAGTAAAATCTATCTTATCCAAAGTATCCCATGCTCCTCTATAAAAGAATGAGTCTGGAATACTTTGGAGGGGGTATCTGTAGGCGTCAAAAAATGCTAATAGATATCCCAAGCATAGAGAAGATCACTCAAAAATTCACAAGAAAGGATTTCATACTGTTTTGGAAAAATCAAAACAAGTATGAACTGTCTCGCCAGCGAGACAGTCTTTGCTGTCTCGCCAGCGAGACAGTCTTTGCTGTCTCGCCAGCGAGACAGTGTTGAAATAGTCAAAACTACATTTGTAACTGCCCTACACGTGTCCATTAACTGCCAAGGGACGTGGGAAACATCGTGGGCGAAAATCACGTGAATAACTGACAAAATAACAGAGTTTGAAACGTGGGAAGACAGTTACAGCGAGAAACTGTCAGGAATATTCGTTTTCTGAGACAGTATTTTACTGTCTCGCTGGGCGAGACAGCAAACACTGTCTTGGCCAGCGAGACAGCAAACGTTGTCTCGCCCGCCGAGACAGCAAACGCTGTCTCGCGAGCACTGTTCATACAGGGGTTATAAATACCCCCGAGGTGATTTCTTCAAGGGGGCTGATCATATCGAGCATTTGTTAGAGCATTCCAGAGCAGAGAGAGAGCAGATTTGGGTTTTTCTTGCAACGCCTTGAAATTAAGCTTTGACTTGATTTTAAGAAGAACGACTATCTTACTTCGATAAGATATCGTTTTAATTCTCACTTCGATAAACGAAGTCAGAATCATAAGCCCCCTTCACGATCTGTGATTCGGCGGTCCACGAACCAAAGCGTTCCCGGCACAGGCAAAGTCCCACGAAAACAAAGATCGATAGACGATTTTTGTGTTTGTTTCTCAAGAGTTGTAATTTTCGTTTTGTCGTGTAGAAAAAGTCTTATAAAAAGATTATTCTTTCGAATTTGTTGTAATCGAACAAAGTTATAATGAATTCTTCAACAGAACCAACTTTTGAACCAAACAGAGATATTTTACAAAAGTCACCTAACAAATTAAAGAGACAAAAGTCGTTCTTAAAATTATAAAAAATAAAATTAAGGAAAACAAAAATCATACTCCTTTTAAAAGTACGAGTTCGGGAAAAGCTTTCCATAGTCAATGTTACTCAGTACTATTTTAAATTTCTAATTTATATTATAATCTATCTTAATCATACTTATATCCTATCCTAATACCCCATGAGCTATCTATACCTAAAAAATTTAAATAAGATTAATAAAAAATATGAAACAGCTCCGTAGTATCGGTTTATTATATGGAGTATTATAAAAAAAACAAAACGTTTTAAAATTTAGACAAAATACTCTCAAAAGTTTAAAATTATGCAAAATAAAAAGCTAAAAATTTAGAACTTGGCAAAGAAAAGAGTAATTATGTCATATTCTTTCATTAAGATATATAAAATATAACTTATAATTTAAGGTTTACTATCCCTTTTCAGAATCTGAAAATAGTCAAGTTGATACAAAAATTGATTGATAGAGCAGCAAAAAATATAAGTATCATTAATTGATAGAAGACTAAATTACAAAAAATGATAAAAGACTATAATATAATGATTTAACATTAATTGATTATAATTTATAAATATTAATCTCTAATGGTAATAGTATTTATAGTGTAAAAAAATTTCAAGATATATGTATAGAGAATTATTAAAAAATTTAGAGATATCATTCAAAAGAATCAAGCGGTTTTCACTTCAAATGGAATTTCTTCATGGAAGATAAAAAAAATTACTATGTCACTACTCTGCGTAAGCAAAAAATATAAAATCACCCTTTTTCTTTTTATTATATAGTATCACGACCCTGCTTGTGACTTTATTTAGGGGTATGACTACTAACGAATGATCAATTCTTAAAGACACGATCAAAGATAATAATGTAATAACACTATTAGAATTCAAGATCTCTAAATACGAAGGTAGTATATTTTATTACTAAAATTCTTATTAAAACCCACTAAATATAAAATTCACCTTATATCTGTCTTAATTTTATAGAGGAAATATGCATGTCATCGTAAATTATGTCAATAATAGTATATATCAATCCAAAGATACAACTTACTGAAGAAATAAGAGAATAGTAAGTAAATCAAGCAAACATCCATATAACACCGTAAAGAAAAAATATTACATTTTAAAGCTAATATGCAGCACTCTTTTAGAGTAAGTTGCCAAGACAAAAGCATCTCTATTAAGACTCTTTATAAATGCAGCAGAAATTCAAATTACTAATATATACAACATTATAACATTCGAAAGAGATATGATCTTAGAAAACATGCTACAAAATTTATACCAAAGAATAATTACCAATATACATACACACTATTGCACCTTTAAGGCAACGATAACTATCATTTATCATAGAGTTGAGCAATGGTTCTATGTTTGCAAAGGTTGCAACAAGAAAGTGGATAGATATGTTAATAATAAGTGTCCAGATGATAAATGTTATAGAATCGTCGCTGATGTAGTATCAATGTTAAGTGATATCCCTTCTTCATAAAATAAATATATCAAAATATTAATATTATAATCTAAAGCAAATTGACTATGAAAAATATAATGTATTTAGTTCAGATCCTTATGGAAAATGACACAGAGCAAATGTAACATTATGACACAACAAAAATTCTTATTGAATGTACAAAAAAAGAATTCATTGTAGAGAAAAAAGAGATAACTTCTAACCTTATTTAAGTAATAAACTAAAAGCATAAAAAAATCATGTATATGAAATTAACATTTATTATTATTGAAATAGGAAAAAATCAAAGTCTGTATTATCAAAAGTTTGTGTTGAACATAAAAAATATATTCAACTTCTTTGTGAATTTAGACGAGAAGACAAAAGATAAATGAGCTCAAGGAAAGATGTCATGCTCCGGCCAATCTCATATCACAATTGATGTAGACGATAAAAACACTACTCTAGAATTGTCCAGGAAAAAGATAAAGATGAAGGATTGATCTCGACTCAATAAAAAATAAAATAAAAGCAACAAAAGATAATGTTTTGTGAATTGTTATAGAATAGTTTTATTTTTTTTAGTAAAATTTGGAATCTTTAGAAGGGATTTTCATAAACTATTTTTAGTGTTTTCATATGCATATGTGGATGCTTTTATCATATAAAAGTATACTAGAGTTATCATTAATCTTCAGTTTATGATATTTTTATTAACTATTTTCTATCATTTTAGCCCACTTTAAATCAATCATCTTGGCTCGTTAGTTTTATTATTCATATTCGTTTTATAATGTTATTTTTTCAAATGTTTTCACTTTCATATCACTATACTTCTTCAAGTCAAGCTCGGTTCACGCCGATCCAAATGAAATAAAAATTTAAATTGGCTTTAGATTATATTTATCTCCTAACAACTCAACTATTAACATAAAAATTTAAACTGGGTGTAGCATATTCAAACAAACTTTAAATAAATAAATAATCAAAGTGTAATTGAAGAACAAATTTTAGTAAGAAAATAAACCAAAAATACTTAATAAAAGTGAGAAAAAATTATCAAAGAGTAACCGAGGAACAAATTTTAGTAAGAAAATAAACCAAAAATAACTAATCACTGTATTTAACCACGTGCATTGCACGTGCATAAAATCTAGTATATATAAGTGGATAGAAAGTTTGGTGGACAAAGTCCTCTTGTCCACTTAAGTTGACATAAGTTCATCTCTCTCTCCATATATATATAACAAAATAAAAAAAATAATAAAAGGAAAAAATGGAGCATCTCTTGAGTATCCATGCATGCGTACAATTGTGTTAAGGCCTTTGTTTTACTGGTCATGATCGTATAGAAGGATATTGTATTGAACTCGCAGAGTATTCATCATTGTGCACTTGAGGCTTCTCTTGAGCGCTAATAACAAAATGATGTGAGCAGAACATCTTGACGAACATCATATAACACATGAGTGCACACTTTAAAATCACAAAAAGATTAAAATTGAAGGATGCCTCAGCTAGACTAACAAGGCAACACGGAAGAAGCATCATTTACCATTCAAAATAATAGAATTTTGCCAAGGTTAGAGAAATAGAAAAAAAAAAAAAAAGAACACAGTGAGACAGAATACGGGGTTAGCATTAAGTAAAGTCCAACACATTTTTCAACCTACAAATGTGAAATGAGATTACAGGTACAGAGAACATAAGCTGCTGCTTGTCTGGGGGAAAAAAGGGAAGGAAAGGATAATAATGTTCACATCTTACACTTCATGGGAGTTAAGCAATAAATAAATTATATAACAAGAAGCTGTCTCCATGACTTACAGTCACTTCTTCAAGGAGCACAATAGAAAACGATTGAGGATCGAACGACAGGAAAAGCATTAAAAAATTCGGGATTTACTCTGCTTCTGACCTCAAATAAGGGTACAAAACCTGAAAGAATATGTAATACCGCTGTTCACCATCTCTCTCTAGACTTTGGCCTGAAATGAAAAACAAGGAACGTGTCAGTAATTAGTAGGAGTCCATGAAGACGTATCCCCTCTTGCTACTATGAATTGCATTGGAATCATTCGGTACCAGGAAGGAAGGTGCCAAAAAGGGTCAAATATTTCAAATGCCATTTTCTGACGAAAATATGACACAACAACACGGGTTTAGGAATAAAAATACAAAGTTTAGATTAGTGATTGATGTACTTATTTAGTTATAATCAATTTATAAAGCATTCAATATGTGCAAAAAAGGGTCAAATATTTCAAATGCCATTTTCGAACGAAAATATGACACAACAACACGATTTTAGGAATAAAAATACAGAGTTTAGATTAGTGATTGATATACTTGTATAGACATAGTTATAATCATTTATAAAGCATTCAATACACAGTAGCTGAACCTATTTGGTAAAAAAGAAAGAGAAGGGTTCGGTGGTGGCTGGTTTAGGAGAGAGCGATAAGGAGTTGAGGGTTAACAGGTTCGCAATTGTGTCTTGACAGTTACCCAGCAGGTTAGCCATAGGTTACTTTTAGACTTGCCTCCCTCCAAATGTTAAGTTTCATATTAAAGTTTTAAGTATTGGCCCACATCATTAAATATCACATGTACCATATTGAATTATAAACACCGTGGTATGATCCAGCCAAAACTTCACTATATGATCCAGCGAAAATGGCTGATACCACCACTATCAGCGAGTACTAACACAAAATGGTGTAGCTAATAACAAGTAGAGAAGTAAATCTAAATGGAGTAATATGACTTATTCTATATGTAGATACTTGTTATCTGAAACTGTTCAAACCCCGACAGTGATACCAATAATGGTAAATCAAAACCATGACGGATACCAATTTTTCAAACCTTGGTTATGGGACTTCTCACGAAGTCAGGCATGGGGTGAAATATACCCTGGTTCAAAGGACTTCTCACAGAGTCACGCACAGTGAATAGCCCATGTAGCTATCATCCAAACATACTTCAGACCATTTCATTGATTGGAGCAATGGGTGGGAAGGAG